ATTGATACCATTGGGCTGCAGGGTTCCCAAGCGGAATATGAGTGGCTGTTCCTGCAACCTTCGGGTGGCATCGTTGTGGCACTGCAGGAGGCCCAGGATGGACATGTCGTCTGAGGAATGGGAGGGGGAGTTGAAATGGTTCGCGATTGGGAGGTGCAGTTGTTTATTACGAACCGAGCGTAGGTGTTCTGCAAAGCGGTCCCCGAGCCTCCGCTTGGTTTCCCCAATGTGGAGGAAGCCACACCGGGTACAGCGGATGCAGTATACCACATTGGCTGATGCGCAGGATTTCACAAGTTTCCAAATCTCCCCTCCCCCTACCGCATCCCAAAACCAGTCCAGCTCGTTCCTGCCTCCCTAACCTGCTCTTCCTCCCACCTATCCCCTCCTCCCACCTCAAGCCGCACCTCCATCTCCTACCGACTAACCTCATCCCGCCCCCTTGACCTGTCCGTCCTCCCTGGACTGACCTATCCCCTCCCTAACTCCCCACTTACCCTCACCTTTACTGGCCCCATCCCCGCCTCTTCGACCTGTTTGTTTCCTCTCCACCTATCCTCTCCTCTATCCATCTTCTATCCACCTCGCACTCTCTCCCTATTTATTTCAGAACCCCCTTCCCCTCCCCCTTTTCTGATGAAGGGTCTAGGCCCGAAACGTCAGCCTCTCCACACTTTCTACTCAGTTCCCTTTTCATATTTGTACCAATTCCTTCTGGACCCACTAATCATTGATGTTCCTGAGAAGACAGTGTCCTTTCCTATCCACTCCAATGCCCAAAATACAGCGAGATAGCAGGCAAATCCATTTCTGAAAGCTATCAACTCACTGACCAGAGCTACCTATCAGAAAATAGTCATCATTTACATGTCAAAGAGGCAGAATCTGGCACTGGAGGACAAGCAAAGGCAGGAAAATGGAAGGCTGCCAAACATCTATCTAACCCCGTGCCAGTTTCGAGCACTTTGGTGCTTCAAGAGCTCATCAAAAGACTTGATAAATGTGTGATGGTTCCCACCTCTACCATTGGTTGAGTCAGTGAGTTTCAGACACCCCGCCACACTCTGGTTGAAGAAATCTTTCCTTAAAACCCTTTATGAAGGGGAAAAGCTTCTTCCTATCAAATTCCTTCAAAGCTGTACACCACAAGCAGGTCCCCTCCTCCAGTTTTCTGTTCTGAGGAAACAACTTCAGCCGTCGAGACTGGATAAGTTGAACTACTCCAACCCAGGGCAACATCCTGGTAAATCTCTTCTGCAGCCTCTCTCATGCAGTCACATTCTTCCTATAGTGTAGTGACCAGAAGTGCACGCAGTGCTCCAACTGTGGCCAAACTAACATTATATACAGCACCGCCATAACCTCCCTGCTCGTGTCTTCGATCAATTCACCAATAAAGACCAGTACCTCATCCGCATTAGTAACAATTTTATCTGTCTATCTTGTTGCTTTCAAGGATCTCTGGACATGCACACCAAGGTAATTCTGATTCTCTGTTCTTGCCTTCTCAGTGCCCCCAAAATGCATCAACAATGTTTTCAAGACTCAGTTCCATTTTGCACCATTCAGCCGGTCCATATTGTCCCACTGTCTAAGGTTTTCCTCCTCACTGCTTACCACACCATCAATTTTTGTGTCAGCTGCAAACAAACTGACCATACCTTCCACATTCACACCCAGGTCATCAGTGCAGTGTTAACAGTAAGAGACCCAGGACTTAAACCCTGCAGTACATCAGCAGCCACAGGCTTTCACCTCTGACTCTCAGCACCGATTCATTGTGTGCTCCCATACCTTGTTTGCTCTCCCAGAACGGCATCACCCCTACCTTTTGAGACATTAATAGGGAAAGACAGCTAAACTATTTCTACTGATTGAAAATTCTAGAACCAGGAGGCAACAGTCGAAGAACTAGGACCAGGCCATTCACGAGAAATGTTAAAAATCAAGTCTACACACAAAGGGGTCCTTGTGGTTCAGCTGTAGTGTACCTACTCCTGAGCCAGGGACCTAAGTACAAGTCCCACCTGCTCCAGAAGTGTGTAATAACCTCTTTGAACAGGTTGATCAGGGGAAAAAACAAATTCAGACAAAGAGGACTGGAGGTTTCCCTCCAATGGTGGTGGCTGCTAAACTCAGTTGCTAAAGTTGTACCTGAGCCAAATTTTTTTAACGTAACCTATTTTTACGATCAATCTGTTCAGATATGTTATTGCACATACCTGGAGCAGTTGGGACTTGAACTTGGGCCTCTCAGTTCAGGGGCAGGGACACTACCACTGTGCCACAAGAGGGCACAGTGTTTTTTTTTTAAACTGTGCCACAAAAGGGCCTTAATCTGTCTTAAAATACTTTTATCCCACCACCCTGAGTCTGCTTTATTTCTTTCAGGAAGAGGTGCAAGGAAATTTTTTCAGACAGAGGGTGATGGGTGCCTGGAACACACTGCCAGTGGTGGTGGTGGAAACAGGCAAGTTAGTAACGTTTAAGGTGTAACTTGATAGACACATGAACGGGAGGCGAACAGAAGGATAGAAACCGCGCATGGGCAATAAGTAGGGGGAGTTACATAAGAATTAGAATCTGCGGAGGCTGGGTGGGTTGAAGGGCCTGTACCTGTGCTGTACTGAATTGTATTGTATTGTACCACTGCGCCACAAGGTGGCCCAGCATCACTGCTGATTTAAATGATTCTGCAAATGATTCTTATGATTCTGTACTGAAGCAGTTGTCCCAAAGATGGCGCTTGTGTGGCGACATTATAGACTTTACACTAAGCTCCTGTACTTTTGCACTTAGAGTACACGTGGCAATAAAAATCTAAATCGAAAATCAAAAATCAACATTTAATTTTAGCAAGGGATATGGACCCAAGGCAGGCATATGGAGTTCAGCCACACATTAGCCATGATCTTTTCATTGGGTGGGGGGGGAGAGGGAGGGAAGGAAGCTTGAGGGGCTGAATGGCCTACTCCTGTTGTTGCTACACAAAAATGGAGATTGCTGGAAAAGCTCATGAGATCTGCCCGCATCTGTAGAGAGAAATGAGAATTAATGTTTCATGTCAAGCAACACTTCCTCAGAACTCATCGTAGCTAGGAAAATGTTGGTTTATATGCAGAAAATAGGGCAGTGGGAGGGGGTTAGGAGTGAACAATAGGTGGGGAGACCGCCCGAAGGAACAGCTGGACAGACAAGGTGTGGATGGTGATCTGGCTTCCTATGTTCCCTTTTCCCGTACCAAGCACCAAGCAAAGACTTTTCCCTAGGGTGGGGGGAGTCCAAAACTAGGCAGCATAGGTTTAAGGTGAGAGGGGAAAGATTTAAAAGGGATCTAAGGGGCAACTTTTTCACGCGGAGTGTGGTGTGTGTATGGAACAAGCTGCCAGAGGAGGTGGTGGACGCCGGTACAATTACAACTAATAAAAGCCACCTGGATGGGTTTATGAATAGGAAGGGTTAAGAGGGATACAGGCCAAGTGCTGGCAAACGGGACTAAGTTAATTCAGGATATCTGGTCAGCATGGACGAGTTGGACAAAAGGGTCTGCTTCCATGCTGTACATCTCTATAACTCTAAAACCACTTTGGAGGGTTGCAGAATTTGTGATTTGCTATTCATGCACTAGCTCCTTCAGCCTTGCACATTACCTGCTAGGACCCGTGCAGACCTCTCTCAGCCCACTCACTTGACTTACACTGTGCCACCTGTCACCTGCTGGACCCGCCCTCCAGCCCCCACCGGCCTGGCGCTGATTGGCTACCGGGATGCCGCCAGCTGATTGGACACGCTGGGCCGCCAATCATCCCTAAACCCCTCCACGTGACACCGCCGAGGTACGCATGCGCACTGAGGGAAAGCTGCCGAGGACCCGCTGTTCGTTCATTCCCGAGATCTCGATTTCATTTTTAAAAGCCGGCACCTACCCGTTCATATTTTCTTGTTTGTTTTAACCAAAGCTCAGACACAAACAGAAATGAGAGAGAGAGAGAGAGAGGGAAAGGAAGAGGAAGGGAAGCCGGTGGCCGGGGAACGCATCCAACGTCCCCACCTCTGCCCCGTCACCGCGGCAACTGACATCCTTTCCGGCACTTCACGACACTGACATCTTTTGGGGGCGGGGCGTGCATGCGCTCGTTCTGCACTGTTGCCTGCTGGGAGTTGTAGTCCGTCCACTGCTTCCAGCTTGTTTTTGCTGACCATCTGAGAGGTGCGTATCCTCTAGCTCTATTTATCATAGTTGCACAGCACGGAAACAGACCCTTGGTCCAAAGCGTCCACATATCCTAACTTAATCTCACTTGCCAGCATTTGGCCAATATCGCTCTAAACCCTTCCTATTCATATACCCATCCAAATGCCTTTTAAATGTTGTAAATGTACCAGCCTCCACCACATCCTCTGTCAGCTCATTCCATACACGCACCACCCTCTGTGTGAAAAGTTGCCCCTCAGGTCCCTTTTAAATCTTTCCCCTCTCCCCTGCAACCTACACCCTCTTGTTTTTGGACTCCCCTACCGTGGGGATTATTTGCTTGATCCATGCCCCTCGTGACTTCTTCGACCTCTTTCAGGTCACCCCTCAGCACCTGATGCTCCAGGGAAAATAGGCCCAGCCTATTCAGCCTATCCCTGCAGCTTAAACCCTGCAACCGCAGCAATATCCTTGTAAATCCTTTCTGAACCCTTTCAAGTTTAACAACTTCTTTCTGATATTTATGTATATTTGTTATGGACCAGACCAAATTCTCTCAAAATATTTTAAGAAGATGGCCTAGACTCCAACATTTTCTTATTGTTAAAGACTAAGTGTATGGCAATTTGATTGGCCAAAAAAAAAGACTTGAACCCAACACACTTCATTCTTACCCTATGGTTAAAATAGAAACAAAACAAACTACTGGAAAAACTAAACAGAATAATAAATTATTTAACTACTAACAGCACCTGAACCAGTACAGCAACACCACAAGAACACAGAGACAACAAGGTGTAGAGCTGGATGAACACAGCAGGCCAAGCAGCATCAGAGGAGCAGGAAGGCTGACGTTTCGGACCTAGACCCTTCTTGGCAAAGCCAAATTCAGTAAAACAGTTTGTCTCACCTGCAATTCTAGCAGCTGGAAGAGAATTCCAGCTTTTAGCTAATAACAGAGAGAGGAAAAACAGCTTCCACATCTAGGTTCAAGACCCTTGCGACTGCAATTACCTGAAGTAAAATTCTGGTTCTGTGTGCGCTTGGCCGCCCCTGAAATTCAGGCTCCTTCAATTTTTTTTTTAAAAACTCCCCTACACTACCATTGCACCCAAAGGTGACCCAGCAGTAGCGCTTATATTTTCTCCCAATCACCAATGGCTGTGTGTATATGTATAATGTGACATAGTAAAAAGACACCAGTGTTCAAAAACTTTATTTACTATTTCCCACCACCACAAAAACACCCATGTGGCTGGTGAAACATTAACAAGCAAAGCCTGATAAGGGCAGTGTTTATGTCAAAATTGGAAAGGGGGGCTGTGGGGAAGGGAGGGGACTGAATCAAAATAGAGTTGGATGGAGAAAAAAAAACCTCTTCCTAAAGGCATTGAAGGAATTGTTTCAACTTTAAAATAAAACCCTGAAATTGCACAAACTGAGTACTTAATTGGCATAGAACAGACTGCTCATCCATCTGTTTCAACCTCTCTTCATAATAAAAATCCAGGACAGAATACACCTTAAAGCCACAGCCTTGTCACAATATTCCTGAAAATATTTTAATGGTGGTCTTTCCTCCACTTCACAAATCACTGTCAGGTCCTGCTTCTGTGGATGTCCCTGATGAACCTGAAACCCTTTCTCCATAGTGCCTGGTGCATCCCCAAGGATCAAACAATTTGACGTAGAATCACACAACGAGGAACGAAGAAATGAGCTACAGTTATGAGGCTGTAATGGCTGCCTTAAGGCCAGAAGGGACAGACAGACCATAGCAGCTGTCCTGTCGGTAAGAGACAGGCAGTCATGGTGTCAGCCCCTCAGTTCCATGGCCATCAAAATAAAACTAATAATTCCGGCTGCTAAAGATATCAAACACAATCAAAAGGGCTAGAGAAATTCAGCAGGTCACGCAACATTGAGAGAGAGAGAAAAGCAGAACGATCTTTCAGAACGCTGGTCTGAAGAAGGGTCACTGGACTTGATATGTTAACTGTTTCTGTCACTACTGATGCTGCCAGACCTGATAATGTGTGGGCGATTGTCTGTGTGGAGTTTGCACAATCTTCCCCTGTCTGCGTGGGTTTCTTCCCACAGTCCAAGGATGTGCAGGTTCGAGTAGATTGGCTATGCTAAACTGCCCATAGCGTCCAGGGATGTGCAGGCTAGATCAGTTATCCATGGGAGAAGCAGGGTTACAGGGATAGGGTGGGTCTGGATGGGATACTCTGCCCAGGGTCAGTGTGGACGCGCTGTAACGAATGGCCTGCTTCCATTGTGTAGGGATTCCACAGTTCTCCAGCTATTTCTGTCTTACTTGTGTGCACAGCAGCCCCAAACAACAGTGACCTTCAACATTCCTGATACCTAAAGTGTAGCATGTTTGAATATAAGCTTCGAACAGACAAAGCCTGACTGACTCATGGGGTCAGGCCCTCTTGACTGAGTTTGTGTCAGTCACTGACACCATTGCACCCAAAGGGCTGAGACATGAAAATGTAAATGACTGACATTAAACTGCCTGCACACGTGTCCTGAGCTTGTGAAAGCTACTGAATAAATGCACATCTTCCTGACATTCATTGTGTCTCTGGGACTCTGAGTCTGGTAATCCCTTTCTTACCCATGAGTACAGGGTCAGCGCACAGAAGGAAGAAATCACAACAACGTTCTAACTCCGTACCACAGATAGCTTTTTAATGGTGCACAGAAGTGAACAGGTCCCTTTTAACAAAGAGGTTGGCTATGAGCCCACAGCCTGGGTCATCTTCACCAGGAAGGGGTTTCTCCATTTCCTCTGTTTGCCGGTCATTCCTGAGCAGCAGAATCCTGCAATCACAAAACAAAAATAAATGGACAACGTCAACTTATGAATCACAATCGAGACGCTGGCCTATCGCATCCTGTTTCAACAGTCAGCAAAAATAGACAGGAGTGGGACAGCACTGAGCGAACGAACAACATGCTTCCCTGCTGCTCCAGTGACTTGCAGCCAGTCCCTGCCCAGAACCTTCTCTCACGCGGCTGAGTCCCCGCAGTTTCAGGGACTGCTGTTCCTCAGAAGGTCCTGGGTTCAGCTCACCCTCCTGGGGCTTGCACATCCCAGGACTGAGGGAGGGCGGCACTGCCCAAGGGCCTGTCCTTGGGCTGAGGCATGAAACGGAGGTCCAGTCAGCCTCATCGCATGAACACTCGCATTACTGTGGTGCAACCTCAAAGAGTGCTCCCACCTTTGCTGGCCAGCGCTTGTCCCTCAAAAGAATCTTATTAATAGAGAAAAAAAAATTCAAGATTATTCGGTCATTACTGCATGGCTTCTTATGGAAGCTTCTTGTGCACAAACTGGGCCAAAACCAACCTCACAATAAAAGGACAACACTTCTAGTGAAAGCAGCTGGCGATATCTTGCGGTCCCGAAAAGCACGTTAAGTCTTTCCTTACGATATTTATCCCTCATCCAACATTCCCCAAAACTTGTCATCCTCTCTTCTTTCCACTGCCGTCGTGGGAGCTTTCTGCGAGCAAATTGGCTGTCATGTCTCTGACAGGACAAAGACTGAAAACATTCCAACGGCACATCACTGGTGGTCAAGCAGTTTCAGACATCCCAAAGACTGGGGAAGCCAGTCAAGAAGTGCCTGTCTTCTCTTCCCCTTCTCACTCTGGGATTCAGAGCCATCAGGTAGTGACAGGAGAGCGAACCGCACACCCCAATGGAAGAAGGGTCCAAGGCAATGGGAGTGCAGTTTGCTGCCAAACCATGACGGACAGGAAACTCAGCAAGGCAAGTCAGCACCTCATGCCTCGAAAATAACATTCTTCCCCCAGTGCATAATTTCCATTCGTGGGGATTGTGAAGCAAAAAGGACAGCTTTAGATGGTGAAACTCTCAAACTTTATCATGCAACACAGAGTACAAAAATCAGTATGTACACGACAGGAACAACATGTGCTCTGATCAGTGACACCAATGACAGTATCTCAAGGACACACACACTCACTGTCAGTAACATTTTCAACCCTCAAAATTTCCATTAGCCACTTTGGCATTGAAGAAAGACAATCTGTTGGAATGCAAACCCGTTAACTTGAGCAGCATAAGACTGTGCATTGTTCTTGTCCAAGTTTCCACGTCTGAACGGGGATGGTTCACTTATAGACTCATTCCGCAAAGAAACGGACCCTTTGGTTCAACTTGTCCACACCAACCAAGTTTCCCAAAGTAAAACTTGCCTGCATTTCACCATATCCCTCTCAACCTTTGCTATTCAGGTACCTGTGCAAATGTCTTTGAAATGTTGCCACAGAACCACTCCCCCCCCCACCCCACCCCCGACCAAGAGTATGAAAGCACGCCATTCGGCCCATTGAATCCACACCGGCCCTCCGAAGACCCACCCAGACCCACCACCCTGTCCTCCCATCCCTCAGGGAGAGGTCTCATGACTCTGATTTACACAAATTCCACTGCCCCTTCATGTTGAAGAAGTGTTTGGCTTCATTGCTCTTGCCTGTTTCCATTGATGCTGTAGTTCTCAGAATGACTGAGGAACTGATATAGCACTCAAGCAGGCCACTTGCTCCCTCCAGCTTGCATCACAGTGCCAGTGCCAATCTCCTACCTTTTCCCCCATATCCCTGCACACCACTTCTACCCAAACAGTTGAAATAAATAGTTGCAATTCTGCCAATCACCCATTTCCGTCTGGGAATACTCTGTCGCTGCTCACTCACCTTTGACACCCGTTGTTGAAGGTGGCAGTGAGGAGTCGCCTTCCTGAAACACTGCCGTCTACTGGTACTGGTGCACCCAGAGCGGCCTGTGGGCATTTCGAGAAGCCACCACATTGTGCTGCAGGCCTGGAGTCGCACGTAAGCCAAGACCTGCTGAGCAGAGCAGATTCCCTGCACCTTAAAGGCATCAGTGATCCGAGCCCATGAGCTCTCCTGACAGTCCAGCAGTGCAAACCGTCACTGCGAGGGGGAATTACGAAAAGTGAAGGGATATGGGCGAGCCACTGGAATGAGGAATCCAGCTCCTGTGGAGAACAAGCCTAAGTACACACTATCAAATGTGTTGTCCCCCATAATTTCATTTCAATTAAGGCAAGTTAATAGACCTGTATTTGATGGTGTGGCTGAAAGCAAGACATATTTCGCTCCAGTTTTTCACCTCCCATTCGTGCCTCTTGAAAGGCAAAAGAACATTCTTTACTCTAACAAGAGTTTTCTTCTCATGCTGTATAAAATATTGTTCCCTTTCACACCGGTGTTTCTTTCCAAACGTCCTTTCTCGTCATTTCCAGCACAGCTGAAGACTGACATTGACTGTGCACCTTTCACAACCTCCCCAGGTACCACACAGCTCCATGTCCAAGAGAGTGCAGAGAGGGCTCAGTTCCTGTGAGCTCCCAGATGGGGCAGACACACACTGATTTGGAGAAGCAGTGTGCCAAACACACCGTTCTGAGGCAGTCACTTAGCTCAACTGGCTGGACTGGGGTTTCATGATGCAGAGTGACCCCAACCACAAGGAGTTGCGTTCCTACACTGGCTGAGGTCACAGTAAAAAAAAAGGGGGAAAGAGCAATGGCCGAATGGTATTACCGTCGGACTATTCATTCAGAGAATGGTTCCCCCGGGGATCTGGGTTCCAATCTTGCCATGGCATCGAATCAAAATTTGGAATTAAGAGTCTATTGATGACCACAAAACCTTCCTCGATTATCATCTGGATCACACATGCCTTTGAGGGAGGAAAATGCCGTCCTTACCTGGTCTGGCCTACACATGACTCCAGACCCGCAGCAAAATGGGTGACTCCACTGCCCTCTGGGTGATTAGGGATGGGCAATAAACGCAGGCCTCACCAGCGACGCCCTCATCCTACGAATGAATGAATAAAAAGGTCCTGCCTTTGCAACCTGCCCCAAGCCCACCTCAGCTGAAGGCTGAACCCTTGAACTCACCAGCAGTTGTCTCTGTCCGATGAGAGTACAGCCCTATTGTCGTCTGAGACTTTGGTGACTCCAGACGGTCAGTCACACTGGGAGCAGTCCAATGCAAGTCCTTGCACCGCACAGAACAACAGGCTCCTGTTTCCGAAGCACCGATCCTGCAGTTCGGTTTTGCTGACTTCCACGACTGACTTCCCGATCGGAGAACCCGCTTCGACAGCGCGGTCACCGCCGTTTCGGAAGTGCACATAAAGCGGCTGAGAGGTGCACAGCAAGATCACACAGGCATATACCCGGCGAGATGTGGCTCGCTAGTTCACCAAGTGCCGTGGCGCGTTGTCAGTGCGCCAGTTTAATAACAGCTCCGCGAAACAAATATCATTCAGCATCTTCAACGTGCTAACCCAACCAGCGGGAGAGGCCTCGGTTTGGAGCCCTCATTCCATTTGCCTGTTTAATGACTCGCTACATCCGCACGCAAACCTGTTATGTTGCGTGCACGACAACATCCAAGGGCCTAGGTGCTGTCCTTTGTGGAATACGGCACCATTTCAGTGACAGTCTGCTTTTTGATTCTTCCTGCCAACGTGCATGAGCTCACAATTTCCAGTATACAACACCATGTGACAAGTTTTTAACCCACTGACAAGCTGCCGTTATCCCGTTGCAGATTCCCACTGTCCTGATCCCAACATGCCCTCCCCCATGTACTTTTGCATCATCGGCAAACATGGATACATGACACTCTGCCCCTCCTCCAAATCATGAATCTAAATGGTAAATAGCTGAGGCTAGAACTGATCGTTGTGGCTCTCTACTCACTATTCCAGCCTGAAAAAGACCCATGAATCCCAATTCTCTTTCTGTGTGTTCATCAATCCTCACTCTGTGCTCATGCATTACCCGTGTACCATGAGTTCCTATCTTGTGCAGTTACCTTTTTTCTGACAGCTTACTGAACACCTTCCGGACATCCAAATACACCACCCCTTCCCCTTTGTCAATGCTGCTTGTTTTATCCTCAAATAACTCCAGCAAATTTGACAAAGGGGCGTTGTCTTTCCCACAAGGATATTGACACTGATGGCATGTAACTTCTCCACACGTCCTGCTCCTCATTCCTGAGTTATGGGTTCCAGCGTTTCCCCAATGACAGATGTTAGGCTAAGTGGCCTATTGTTTCCTGCTTTCTGTCTCCTTCCCTTCTTGGACAGGGGCAACTCATTAACCACATTCCAATGCGCTAGAAACCTCCCACAAGGTCTGGACTATTTCGACCAATGCCTCCACTATCTCTGCAGCCACTTCCTTTAGCACACTTGGATACAGGCCATGAGGTCCTGGCAACCTATCTGCATTTGCTTTCATTAGTTTCTCAAGTACTTGGTCCCTCATGATAAAGACTATCCCAAGACACTTGCTTCCACTCCCTTATCTCTTACCTTAAGGATGTTTTTCGTAGCCTCTGCTACAAAGAAAATTGCTAAATATGGGTTCAAATTATTTCCCTGTTCCCAATCTTGCTCTTTGCCATTTCTGCTAAGATCGACCTAAACTGTCAGATATATGTGAATGATTTTGTTTTCTTTTCCCCGCTTTCGGAATCATAAACGTGTCTACTGGCAGATCACAAGCAGCCTCACATAAACATCTTTAGTCGCTGGAACAAGACTGCAGGAGTGAAACTGATGGTCTAGGAAGGCAGGTTTTACTCTGGTAATACTGGACCCTGCTGCATCTCAATCAGCTGGGGTAACATATACAGTATGGAATTACGTACCAGTGTGTCATTGGTGCCATCTTCCAGTCCCTTGTCAGGTTCAACTGAAAGAACGAAACAAAAAGAGGAACGATGGAATGAGAAACAGACTCAGGGCCAAGGTCTGCCAAAATACCCACTGACAGACACATACACACACCCCCCGAAGACCCAGAGTATTCATCAAGCTTCAAGCCTCCTGCACTACAGGATATCCCAAAGTGCTTCACAGCCAATGAAGTACATTCCAAATATGGTGATAACTGTAAGGGAGGTGACAGCCAATTTACACCGAGCAAGATTGCAGAAACAACCAAAATCTGTTTGTTTTTTCCTTTGTGCAGTCATGTGGGTTGAAGGGAGAACTGCACATCTTTAATGGAATGGGATCTTTGTCAGCGGGTGAGCCCCCTTTGCTTTAACATTAACCGCTGAGGGAAGGAGCTCACAGGTAACACGATCCTGTTAACAGATACCATGGAAACAGCTCTTGGAGTGGTTGGTGACCAGTCGACACCACAAACCCATTTCAGACCAATTACATACCCAACTCCTTTCTCCAAATGAGAATTCATCAACACAACATCAGAGCTGCTTTCACTAAGAGCCAGTTCCATTTGTAATCAATTGCTTCTACTTTTCCCCGCTTTTCGACCAAACAAAGATAAGCCAATGGAAGCAGGACTGCAAGACAGCAACAAGTCCACCAGGAGATGTGCAATTTGAAGATCAAGTGGCACTGCACAGTTTTCGCTTCAGCAACACAACATCATGTTACTCTCAGGAGCAGTGATTTTTGAAACAGTGACTCCAAGAGTCTTTGATTTCAGAAAATGACTGCCTTTGCATTGGTCCGGCTTCAGTGTGTGACAGATCCCTGAGGAACTGCACTCAGAAGCCTGTAAACAAAAAGCATCTATTGTCTCCCTCTGAGAGCGAGAAGTCAGAAGAGCCTCGAGATTCTAAAACGAGAGAATTCGAGTCCGAGTAAACACCTAGGACAACCTGGTCAGCTCCCGAATCAGAAA